TTTTTTTTTTTTTTTTTTTTTTTTTTTTTTTTTTTTTTTTTTTTTTTTTTTTTTGAATTGCAAGGATACAGTTACCCTTAAGGCTAAAGGAAAGCCGATGTTAAACCTTGTCAGTGAGGATACCGCAAAGTAAAGCATTTGAATCAGTCAGTAACAAAGCATCAACTCTACGAGCAACCATCCGACGACAAGCCTCGTAGATGGTAGTACTTTCAGGAACCGTCAGTGCTCTTGACAGCCGCAATCGTTTCACCGTACGCTCTCCATTGAGTTGTCTTTTTCAAATGTAAATGGAGAATGGAAAATCAGGTTAATATATCTTGACTTCACCAATTTAATTACTGTATCCAACAATTATCCTATAATTTGTAACAGGTCCAGGACAGGTACAGCAAAGTAATCCCATTCAATTATATTAATTAATCCCTCAAAACGTTGCACGATAAAATAAGAAAAAAATACACAATTCCTACATGATGCAACCACGTGATATAGCAGAGTACTAACGTTCAAATACAGTTGCTAATCCGTTAAAATGTTACGCAATGAAATATTGATACTTCAGTTTTCATGTACAATGTAAATTCCATTTTGCCCAAACAGATTCTTGATGAGATGAGCTGCTAAATTTTACAATCTCACGCCAAAAGCTTGGGAGGGGTTGTTCTGAAGGTTCCTACGATTCTTTGAAGGATTTTAAATGATCATCTGAGTGAGAAAACGTAACTACATCAAATTTCAGCTTTCGGCTTTGAAACATTCAAAGAAAAATCTAAAAACGTGCAATAGGATTCAAAAATAATAATATGCCAATTAAGGTACATGCGTAGGCATAACAAATCGGGATAAATGAGAGCATCTATAAAATAGGATTTAAAAAATAGCATTTACAATGAACGAGAGGATGAAAGAGACTTCCTCGGTGTATCCAAGCTTCCGTTCTCATTGATTTTCTTCCGTCCGTGAAATGATATGTTCGTCAAGGACATACTTCTCCTAGTAGAACCGCCTTGACTAGTCATTTCTTCCGATGGTTTTCACAATCTCAGATAAGACCTTGAAAACGTTGCAACAGAAACTCGTTCAACGTCAATTAAAAAAAAGTGAATATGAGAAACGAAACATGATCCAATTTAGACGCTAAAGAACAGTGAGCAATTAAGATTCAATTCTAATGAACAACTCCCAGTTTTTGAAGCATAGAACCGAAATAACGAAACAAAAAGAAAATCCAGAAACCTGAAATATGTCGCTTCTTCTTCAACGTCGAATCGTCCCTTTTTTTCCCCTAGAAAATCGTGAACAGTAATTTTCCGCCCTCAGAAAGTGATTGTTCAAAAAATTAGGAGTTATACCCAATCGCGCCAGCAACTAAATCCGGAGCTGAAGCGCCAAAACGGAATGGAGAAATGGGGTTAATAGCAAAAATCAATCGAAAAACTTCGAAGATTCAAAGAAAAATAGAGGACTAACGGTCGGTAATCTAATCGGAAAGTTAAAAGATTATCCGGGAGAAACTACCGACCGTCGAACGAACAAGAAAGAGAGCGAAAAGAGAGAGGGAAGGAAGAGGAGAGACCATAAGAAATGGGACGAATCGAATTTTTGTAAGAGGATGGGGAGAGTGGACCAATTGGAATCGTCCACGTAAGCGAAACTAACCGCAACAACTCGGTAATATTTCCGAGGAATGCTTCCGTTTGGCGCTAAATAAAGAAATTCATTTTCAAGTTACTATTTTCCCAATTTATTTAATCATTTTTTAGTGCACGTACAAAGAGAATTAACTTTTAAATTTCAACTTTAAAAAATATAATATAGTATATGATAATTATAGTTAAATTAAGTTTATTTTAGTGATTTATTTAATTAATTTATCCATTTATAAAATTCAGAAATTAATATGTGTAGAATAAATTAGTTTAATTGCATTTATACTTAACATCATAAACTTTTAAATCCAACCTCAATTTTATAATTATTTTCCCCAGTTTTCATTTACTTTTTGAAATTTATTTTCGGGCTTTATTTAATAATGATTTTTTAAAAATTGGTCCTCCACTTCCAACTCGTGGAATTCAGCCCTCCACTCTCCCCATCATCTATTACATTCCTAATTTAAGCAAAATTCCATATTTATTTTGAAAATTTCAAATTGCAACTTATTTTTTTATTAAAAAAATCATAATAAATTAATATATATATAAATAAATAATATATTGTATAACATAATTTTTAAAATTTCTGAGTTTTAATATTATAATATAGTATTTAATAATTTTTTTAAAAAAGTATACAACATTAAATTCCGAAATTAACTAATTTATTTATTCATATAAATATTTTGAATATGTGTGTGAAAATATATTTATATAAAACAGGACTCAAAATTGGGTTGAGGCAAGGACGGAAAATATAACACCATCTACAAGCTCATTTATGTAAAGGAAAAAAAAATGTTCCTCACTCACTCCCACATTCCCGTCTAAACTTTAGAGGAATCCCCTCTCCATTCAAGCCTCGGGGTGCGTCCCCTGAAACCCCAGCCACGCAAATAAAATGAAAATCTCGACCACAGTAGATGTTTACGTCGGGAGATTAAGTAAAGCAATTTTAATTACTATCTTGATGATTACTATTTTTTTTTAATCATTTATGAGCTTTGATTTACCTACATTTATGTCCATAAAATTTTAAATTTTGTAAGGATGGATTTATAAATTTTTGATTGGGTCATTGAATCAATAATTTTTGTGTTTAAAAGTTGAAATTATCTGCTGTAATTATTTGCTAAAAGAAAGTAAAAATAAATATTACAAAAAAAAAAGGAATTAGTTTGATGATATACTTATTTGGATGGAGACAAATTTAATACCGGAGTTGGCACTCTCTTAATGATCTTCATATTATACGGTCCTAACAAGGGACAAGTAGAGTGAACAAATACATTATATTAGGTAGATTTTTATGAATGGAATTAGGTTAAGAATGAAAATTAGATATATTTTGTGGGAACCGGGAGAGCAATGCATCCCCAACACAGCATTTGACATTGAAAAGAACGTTTAAGATGTACGAAGCATCAAAAGGTGTCTGTGCTGGAAAGTTGAATGTAACTGTAAGCCGCGTTAGTTCAATAAAGTTTTCATCTCACGATGCCTGAAAAATTAAATTAAGGAAAACCCAAAAATGGCACCGCCTCATCCGTCCACGTGAAGCATCAAGATCGATGCAGTTGTCGAATCACTGTCCCGCTTCCAAGTTATTGCCTCGCCTTCTCATATCTTCCATCCTCCCAGCCCCATCCCCATCGCCGAAACTCACAACTTTTTCTGTGGTTCTGCAGGCGTAAACTTGAACACACATCCCATCCAATGGCAGATTGGGGGCCGGTGATTATAGCGGTGGTGCTGTTCGTGCTCCTCAGTCCGGGGCTGCTGTTTCAGATCCCAGCCAGAGGAAGGGTGGTTGAGTTTGGGAACATGCAGACAAGCGGGGCTTCCATTTTAGTCCACGCCATCATCTACTTCGGCCTCATCACCATCTTCCTCGTCGCCATCGGCGTCCACATCTACACTGGCTAAATCTCTGTTTTCCATTTCATCTCTCCGCTTAAATTTATGTCGCTATTACTGTGTTTCTTTCTTAACTTCTCCATTTTACGGATTATTGTTGTGAGACTTGTGCTATTACTGTATCATTGGAGTTTCAGCGATTACGGTGAAGAGTCTGTAAATTTGGTTTGCTTTCGAAACGCGGTCCTTAAATTCACTGCTTAGCTGTTGGATATTTGATTCGGGGGGTGGGGAAGAAGGTGAAAAAGATCCCGATTCGATTCTAATGCCAACCGCAGTACGATTTGAAGCGAAAGTATGAGATCCGAGATACGATCCCATGGCTCCTTTTACTGTTTTATCTCCCTGTCGGCCACCGTTTCTGGTCGGCGACAGTTCCCGTCGGTGGACCCGATTAGAATTCGCCCCGACCCGACCCGACATTTGAGACTTGTCCTAAATTTAGGGTTTTTTTTTTTGGATTTTCTTAAAATTAGTTTTAGACCTTTCTCTTTTTAAGGAAAATTCAGTANTCAGCCCTCCACTCTCCCCATCATCTATTACATTCCTAATTTAAGCAAAATTCCATATTTATTTTGAAAATTTCAAATTGCAACTTATTTTTTTATTAAAAAAATCATAATAAATTAATATATATATAAATAAATAATATATTGTATAACATAATTTTTAAAATTTCTGAGTTTTAATATTATAATATAGTATTTAATAATTTTTTTAAAAAAGTATACAACATTAAATTCCGAAATTAACTAATTTATTTATTCATATAAATATTTTGAATATGTGTGTGAAAATATATTTATATAAAACAGGACTCAAAATTGGGTTGAGGCAAGGACGGAAAATATAACACCATCTACAAGCTCATTTATGTAAAGGAAAAAAAAATGTTCCTCACTCACTCCCACATTCCCGTCTAAACTTTAGAGGAATCCCCTCTCCATTCAAGCCTCGGGGTGCGTCCCCTGAAACCCCAGCCACGCAAATAAAATGAAAATCTCGACCACAGTAGATGTTTACGTCGGGAGATTAAGTAAAGCAATTTTAATTACTATCTTGATGATTACTATTTTTTTTTAATCATTTATGAGCTTTGATTTACCTACATTTATGTCCATAAAATTTTAAATTTTGTAAGGATGGATTTATAAATTTTTGATTGGGTCATTGAATCAATAATTTTTGTGTTTAAAAGTTGAAATTATCTGCTGTAATTATTTGCTAAAAGAAAGTAAAAATAAATATTACAAAAAAAAAAGGAATTAGTTTGATGATATACTTATTTGGATGGAGACAAATTTAATACCGGAGTTGGCACTCTCTTAATGATCTTCATATTATACGGTCCTAACAAGGGACAAGTAGAGTGAACAAATACATTATATTAGGTAGATTTTTATGAATGGAATTAGGTTAAGAATGAAAATTAGATATATTTTGTGGGAACCGGGAGAGCAATGCATCCCCAACACAGCATTTGACATTGAAAAGAACGTTTAAGATGTACGAAGCATCAAAAGGTGTCTGTGCTGGAAAGTTGAATGTAACTGTAAGCCGCGTTAGTTCAATAAAGTTTTCATCTCACGATGCCTGAAAAATTAAATTAAGGAAAACCCAAAAATGGCACCGCCTCATCCGTCCACGTGAAGCATCAAGATCGATGCAGTTGTCGAATCACTGTCCCGCTTCCAAGTTATTGCCTCGCCTTCTCATATCTTCCATCCTCCCAGCCCCATCCCCATCGCCGAAACTCACAACTTTTTCTGTGGTTCTGCAGGCGTAAACTTGAACACACATCCCATCCAATGGCAGATTGGGGGCCGGTGATTATAGCGGTGGTGCTGTTCGTGCTCCTCAGTCCGGGGCTGCTGTTTCAGATCCCAGCCAGAGGAAGGGTGGTTGAGTTTGGGAACATGCAGACAAGCGGGGCTTCCATTTTAGTCCACGCCATCATCTACTTCGGCCTCATCACCATCTTCCTCGTCGCCATCGGCGTCCACATCTACACTGGCTAAATCTCTGTTTTCCATTTCATCTCTCCGCTTAAATTTATGTCGCTATTACTGTGTTTCTTTCTTAACTTCTCCATTTTACGGATTATTGTTGTGAGACTTGTGCTATTACTGTATCATTGGAGTTTCAGCGATTACGGTGAAGAGTCTGTAAATTTGGTTTGCTTTCGAAACGCGGTCCTTAAATTCACTGCTTAGCTGTTGGATATTTGATTCGGGGGGTGGGGAAGAAGGTGAAAAAGATCCCGATTCGATTCTAATGCCAACCGCAGTACGATTTGAAGCGAAAGTATGAGATCCGAGATACGATCCCATGGCTCCTTTTACTGTTTTATCTCCCTGTCGGCCACCGTTTCTGGTCGGCGACAGTTCCCGTCGGTGGACCCGATTAGAATTCGCCCCGACCCGACCCGACATTTGAGACTTGTCCTAAATTTAGGGTTTTTTTTTTTGGATTTTCTTAAAATTAGTTTTAGACCTTTCTCTTTTTAAGGAAAATTCAGTATTTTGATAAAGGTTGCGTGTCATTTCACTATAAAAAATATTAAAATTTGGGGCGGTGTTAACTGATCACGAACAGGGAGATAATTATTTGATTTTATGCTAATTAACCCCACAAATCGAAAGGGAAATCAATTTAATCTAATTAAATGATTGTATTCGAACATTATTTTTGCACCCATTAAAATTAATTTTGAATTATTTAAAAATTTTGGAAATATATAAACAATGATTTAATCATTTTAAACTTAAAATCAATCCTAAAGCTATTTTATGTCGTTCAAATTTTGTTTTAGATTATTTAGAATTTATTTTACTCGCATGAATGTTATATTGGTTTTGAAATGCTCATATTTAATTATGGTACTAATTTTATTAATATAAACTTTCCATAAATTAATTGTTTTTATCTTAAACGATTAATTTGCAACAATAATTTCTCCAATGATATAATTTAATGGTGGAATTCCGAAAGGACAATTTACGTTTACGGCCCATTTATTTAGCCCATAATAGTCGAAAGCCCATACACTTTGGCCCATTGAAACAGCAAAGCCAGATGGTTGTACCGCCCTCTCCGAGTGCCATCAGCTGAATCACAGACCACGCTCGCTTCTCCTCTAGAAATGGCAGCTGTAGCTCGCTTTTCCAGGAAGGCAATTGCCTCAGCGGTTGCGACCAATCAACTCCGCCGTGCTTTCTCGACGGAAGCGTCGAAGACGATCGCGCCTTCACCGGATCGAGTTAAGTGGGATTATAGAGGTCAAAGAAAAATAATCCCGCTCGGCCAGTGGCTCCCTAAAATCGCCGTCGACGCCTATGTCGCGCCTAATGTGGTCCTTGCCGGACAGGTTAACGTCTGCGACGGGGCCTCCGTTTGGGCGGGTTCCGTTCTCCGCGGCGATCTCAACAAAATTACAGTCGGATTTTGCTCTAATGTGCAGGAGCGGTGCGTTCTCCATGCTGCTTGGTCCTCCCCAACAGGTTCAATTCAACTTACATGCTTTTATTTGATTTTTTCCGCCATTATCAGTTTATGGTTTTTCTCGAATTTGGTAGTTTGGTGATTGTTTTCCTCGGTTATTTGAAAATGTAATTGTTAAAAGGGTCCTTGATACTACACACGCAATTTCAGTCCCTGTTTACTTAACTAGCATCTCCAGGGGATAGTGATTAAGTCTACACATTGTTTTCGAATTCTTGAAATTATGGTTCTGTTGAGTAGCTGATGCCATATTTGTCCCCGGTTAATGTAAGAAATCGAATGAAGTATTTTAGATCGTGGTTTCTCGAGACTCAGTAGATTCGAGTGATTGGAGGTAGTGCCCTACAGTTTTTTTTTCTTGATTTTTGACAACCTTTTCTGGGTTAGGAGTAATGGGTATTCCATTGTACCATTTTGTCTTGATTCTTCTTTTTTAGTAAAATACTTATTTGATTCTAAGCTAGGTTTTTAAGATTTCTAACTTGATGGCAATCTCTACCCTGAATTATTAACCAACATCTCAACAAACACCTCTTCCTCAAAAGTACACTATCAACTTAATGTACACTATTTTCTTTGATCCTTCACTTCCTCTTTTTTTTTTTTTTTATGAACATTAAAAATGGAGGTTGTTCTATCGATTTCAGGGATTTTCCAAAATTGCTTATTTGGTGTCAGCTCCCGTCTGAATCTTCATTGGTATCTTTGCTTATGCGTGAAATTGTGAGCAATCATATCATCATTTAACAATTAGTGGATATAAGTAGGAGTTACGATGGGATATTGATAAGGAGAAAGCAGAGAAAGAGCAAGTCATATAGAGAGAGTCAGAGCGAGGTGGAGAGAGAGGAATGGGAGGAACTGGAGAATTGGGTTAGAGAGAGAGAGAGTAGAGTCAAAGAAGTACAATGGAGACAGAGAGAGGCTGAGAGATATAAAGAGGGAGATAAAGAGCTGACGAATAGAGATAGTGCAAATGCACAAGTTGAAATTGCTTCTTCTATACTTTTTTAGGTTCAAGTGCATCATACTACTTCCAAGTTTGGCCTACAAATTTTCTGGGTTTGCCCCTTGTTTATTGATACGATATTCATACACTTTAGTGCATAGTATTGCATTTTTCAGTATTGGCGGTGAAGTACTCAAGTTTCAACTATTTGCTTCTCTGTCTTGTTTAAGTCATTTTCTTGGTCTCTAAAAGTCTGGGTGTAAAGCTGAAATTCCAGTCTTGTCCTACTACAATTGGATAATAGCCAGACCCCGAATCTATTAAGTTGGTTTCAGTTGTTCATATGATCAGTCCCAAATGTGAAACTTCGGCTGTTTAAAATGTATATTTTCAATCTTCATTACAGATATATTACTATAATCAGTAATCGGTAATCAATAATCAGTCAGTTATCAGTTTTGAAAAAATAATTATCACCTGGCTATAAATTAAATTTGTAAGGCTGCTTACATCCTCTTTTCAGTTCGTGACATATTAATGTTTTCTAGTGCATGCTATGTCTAAATTTTCCCTCATATGTCCGTTCCAGGATTGCCAGCAGAGACGTCCATAGATAGATTCGTCACCATTGGTGCATATAGTCTTTTGCGGTCCTGCACAATCGAGCCGGAGTGCATTATTGGGCAGCATTCCATCCTCATGGAAGGTTCCCTAGTTGAGACCCACTCCATTCTTGAAGCTGGGTCTGTGGTTCCCCCAGGAAGGAGAATTCCTAGTGGTGAACTTTGGGCAGGAAACCCAGCAAGGTTTGTCCGAACTTTGACTCACGAGGAGACGTTGGAAATTCCTAAACTCGCTGTTGCAATTAATGACCTAAGCAAGGAACATTTCTCAGAGTTTCTTCCTTACTCCACAGTATATTTGGAGGTCGAGAAATTCAAGAAATCCTTGGGGATAACCGTATGATGCAGCCTGTCTTCTCATCTTTACATTTTTTCTTGTTGAGGAAAATAAAGTTCTCCAAATGATAAACCAACTTTCAGCATTTCATGTTGATTTTGCTGGCTTCAAGTTAGGATCAAATGGATTTCTTAGATTATAAGATTAATGTTCATCTTATCACCTGGATATCTTGTGGGTACTTGAAACTGCCGATGACTTGTGATCTCCCGTTGTATGTTTTACATATAACACATCTATATGTTTGTTCCCAATGACGCATTTCCCAGGTATTATTCAAACTTGATTAAGAGGTTTGGCTCTGTAAATGTTTCAAGTAATGTCTGATGAACTCTCCTTCCTCCCATTCTCTGCTTATATTAGTTTATGCTCGGAATCTCTTCTATGGTGTCTTGGTTTGATGGGATTATGTCACGTTATCCACGGAGTAGCTCTCTGAAGCTCCACCTTCAATTTAGAAGATGAACTTTGAGATAAAATTAGGCAAATACGACAAAGTATTAGGTTTTAGCACTAACAATGTGAACGTTGATTTTTGTTTTGGTAGACGTCAATAACAGATCTTTTAATAAACAATGCATGAAAATGACATTCCCACCAAAAAGATCCGATGGAAAGCTTGTGTATATTCTAGTCATTGACTTGCTATATTGGTTGTTGGAAGTTGTCTTAATCTCCATTTCTTAATATCAAATGTATTTTCAAATTGGGTTTGATACCTTTTTAAGCACTTAATTCAAACCAGGGTTTGAAGTATTTCCAACACCGATGAGAAGCAAAATAGTATACTGGGGTGAGAAGGAAGCTTGATTCCAAGAGCCTCACGCGCACACCACAGCACTGTATAAGGCAACATATGATTGTTTGGGTCAAGTCTTGTTGTGTAAGAAATGAAAGTGGAAGCACTCAGCAATCAGCATGCCGAGGAACCGGCCGCCTCATGGCACTTGTGACAAAGTCATCAGCCCCAACCAACTACAGTCGTGGAAGACCTGATCATACATAACTTTTTCTTTAGACAAAAAATAATAAGAAGAGAAAGAAAGAGAGATATAGACATCCCAACCATTCTAGTTTCTTATGCTCATTCCACTTATAAATTTCCCTATCTCCTCCTTATTTAAACACTTCTGTCTGTCTAGACATGGTGTTCCTCTTTTCCTCTACCTCCAAGATGCCATCCTGAGAGAGCAAAGCAAGTTCTGCAGGTTGTGACGAAAACAAACAGATCCTATCGATGGTTTGCTTTCTAGTATCGTGTCGATGTTGGAACGGTTCAATCAAATCAAATCTCCTTTGAATTGGGTCTTTTAATTTGATTGAGCCGTGCCAATATCGACGATTGTCTCAATTGTTTCTTCTTACTAGTATTACAATTTATCTTTCATTTTCTCCTTCAACATGGATCTGAAATTTGTTATTATTACATTGAATCTTTCGTTAAACAGATCCTTTGGTATTGCTAGACCCATGCCCCTTCTTGATTGCCTTTCTAGATGACAGAGTAGATGCAGGGCATCTGAGTTGATATCTTTTCACATGCTTCATTGCTGGATGCTCTGAAGAGGCCACTGGAGCCGCAGAGGAACTAGAAAGTGTTGATTTCTTTTTCTGTAGCTGAAGTAGATCAGTGCTATAATTTCTTTTTCTTTCAGTAATTGTTGATTTACATGATTGATCTCTATAAGTTTTCCTTCCATTCCAATCCTAGAAGTTACATCCATTTAGAAAGACAAGTGATTACATCAACACCTGTTTTAACGTAACTGTATGAACAATTGGAATCCAGAAAATGAAAGAGCATTTAACGAAACCCAATTCTAGGAGGGACCAACTCAAGATTTCCATGGTCCCATGAAGGATTGAGATGTTTATGGAACCATTGAGACGTTTACCTTTTCATTTCCCATGGTCCCACGACAACGAAGAAAAGATAGCTTTCTCTTCTTGGTTCTAATGGAAATGGAAGGCCTTTTTTTTTTTTTTTACCCAATTTCTAGTTGGAATTCAAACAAAAATAAGAGCTCAAAGAAAAAAAAAAAAAAACTGATGCCTGAGGGTGACAGAGACACAAAAATAAGGAGTTGCGTAGACATAGACAGTATGTAAGAAAAATAGTCCATAAAGCAACCAAAGATGAAATGAGAGAAGTACCATTGTTAAGCTTCACAAGCATAGCAGACAGGCAGCAGTTAAATAAGAAGATGATCAGTTGTGTGTACTGAAGTTAATCTACTGCCAGTGAAAGGGAAGGGATGGTGGGGGAGCTTCATTCCCTCCATCATTCGATGCAGCGTGAAACATTCCTGAGCAATTCATATCAGCATTACTCACACAGCCATTCAGTACTGAACTAGCTGTCTCCAACCTGTTGTGATGTCCTAAGCTCACATCTAATGGCTGCAGGAAGGATATAAGATGACGGTCCTGCTCGGCTTGGTTGAAACCGATCCCGGATGACTGTGTCTGCAAAGATGACAGAAGAGAGAGAGCACCATCCGACTCATGGCCTGGACTTGGAGTTGTAAACCTGTCATAGAACATTTTGCTCCGACTGCTTCCATTTTCTGAAAAATCAATGGTCCTGACAAAGGGTAGGCCAACCGAAGATCCCGGATTGTCACTTTGCAGAAATGCAACCTGCTTTTCAATTTTATGGATGCTATCGTTCGACGATGCTCCGAGATAGATGTCGTGTTTATCAGGGAAGTGGATTGGCTCTTGCTGAACATGAAGCCTTGGATCTATCTCAGTATTGGAAATTCCACGCCAGGAATGGTTCATAACAATTGTAGATGGATAGACATGTGAGGAAGAAAATGGTAGCAGTTGGGAACCTGAAAGCAGAGAATACGGCATGATATAACTTGAAGAATTTATAGTTTACCAATAACAAAAGAAACTTTTTCCCCGTTGAGTATTTCTATAGAACATAAAGATGGATCCATATCAAAAGCATACAAGTCATCTGGGTTTGAACAACTTAGGAAAATCTTCAAGTTTATTAGGCAAATGCCACAGCAAACCTTGGTAATGAGACAAAATACTTCGTGATAGGGAGTCCGACTGTGGCTTTCGTCGCCTTCGATTGTGTCCATCGAGACGTTTCCTGCAGCTTCTCTTTCCTTCATCAAATTCTTCTAGTGAATGGAACCTATATAGTGTTGAACTGTTATTGAGAAACTAAGCCACTAGAGATGGAATTCAGAATGGTTGAAAGTGTGTAGGACAAGTAAGGTCACTATAAGAAAGCCAACAATCAGCAAATAAATTTGAAGTGTACCTGCTACACTGCTGGCAGAACCTTTGCTTTCGTCCACCAATTGTAACCTGGGGAGTCTTTGAATGGAGCTCGCAGACCTTGTGGCGCCTGTGGTAATCTCTATAGTTGTTAAGGTCTGAAACACATCCATCCACAAGGCATGACAAAGGCTGAGCCCCATTCCCAGATCCTCTTGCCCTCTTGGAAGGTTCCATTTTCAACACTCCTGGCTCATTGACTGCATATTTTGTTCCTAGATTACTGACTTGACCCAGTTTCAAATCAATCGAGAAATCCCCAGAAGTCGTTCTATCTTCAACAAAGCTGCTGGATGCACCTATTGTATTGATGTTCTTTAATACATCTTGTTCCAATTGAGTAAAATCCCAAGATGGGGTCTTCAAGTTCCAGTCCATAGAGAATATTTCAGTTCTTCGCTTCCTTCCCACTTAAAAGCAACACCTTTTCCAGAGTTCAAATCACTCTCTTGATGACTTTATGCATAGGTTATATATAATCATCAACTGAAGAACACAGAAATCTGAAGAAAGGATGAGACAAAACCGTAAGAATCCCCAAGAAATTGGAGCGTTTAAATTACAACCAAATCCACAAATTTAGGATCAATATTAAGTACCCTATGGCTGACGAGAAATGTATATAACAAGAACAGAGCACGCTGGTCAGCATACAGACAACAAGAATACAAAAATTGGAAGAACAAGAATGTCGAAGACAGTTATTTGCATGTCCCAACAAGATGTTACTCCAAGTAGATTGGAGGAGGGTTAGAAGAAGAAGAAGAAGAGAGAAGACTAAAATAAATAAGGTGAGAGTTAAGAAAGCGATGGATGAGAGTAGTTGCAGAGTAAAGCAGCAGAAAACAAATGGGATGCTATTTTACAACCATTCACTCACTGACAAGGATTCCACCAAACAACTAAAGTTGGTAGTGAAGGGAAAAAAGAAATAAAAAGCCAAAAAAGAAGGGGGAAAGCCCCCATGAAAAGCTAGGGTAGTAGGTTACTCAAGAAGAATCACTGGTTCTACCTGTCAACAAGATGTCAATTTTAGCAGTAGGGATTGAAGGCCTTTCAGTGTATACTCAGAGAAAATGGGTGTGTTGCAAAAAAAAAAGGTGGAGAGAACTTTTATTGAAGGAAACTCCATGAATACCCAAAAGGAGCCGCCAACTTTATTCTGAATTTACCTTCCCACTCTTTGGAGAAAGGTTGGTATTAAAAGAGACAGCTATTTGTTGCTTTCAAAAGTTCTGCAAACCAAGGAAAAGGAAGAAAGTTATACAAGAATGGATGGTGGTGAAGGAAGGCAGTTCGCTTTTGGGGTTCCAAGCAAGACTCAAATTACAAGGAAAAACAAATGTATATACCAAAACCCTTCCAGACTAAGAGATTTAAGTAATTGTTTGCATTCACCTTCTGCTTATCAAGTTGCTTCTAATGGGGGCTTGAAATCAAACCCCCTTATCCTCCTTATGGGCTCGGGCGATCCTCAGCTCAGCAGCATCAAGCAGTGCCTGAAACAAAAATGAATGAGAGGCGAACAAGAAAAAGAAGAGATGGCGAACCCCAGCCAGCCAGCCACCAAAAAAGAAGTAAAAAGGAAGGTTTAAATGGCAATGTCAGGTGACCCATTTCAGCTTCTTCCCTTAAACAATGCAATGCAATGCAATGCAATTGATTATATACTTTTGTCCTTCCCTTAACATTCCTATTTATGAATCATATCTTATGAAAACGACTCTTTTTTCATCCTATTTTTAGGATCATACAATAATTTCGTGTTTAACCCTACCTCACTCAAAATCATACTTAAATTCTAGTTGAAATATTTAAGTATTTTGTAACTTTCAATGAAATAAAAAAAAAGTGTGGGTTTCATTTAATTATTAGTCACGGGGAATAAGAAATTAAATGGAATGATACAGATAAAAGTTGAAAATGTGGAGGCCATTTTTTAATGAACAGAGAGAATAAAATACATTATATTATAATTTTTTTTTATAAAAAAAGGACAAAAGAAACAAATAGGTTTATTGCATTTTTTTAAAATTAATTTTAAAATCATTATTCAAATAGAGTCAAGGCACGTGACCCTAAGCCAACTATTAAATTCCAAAATCTCCATTAAACCTTCATTCTCTACCGTGTTTATTTTTTTTTTATTATTATTAAAATCTAAGTCTAACAAATAAATATTTCATTCTTTTTAACTAAACAATTGCAAAGCAATTATGAATGGGCTTAAGCCTAGCCCAATACACGGTCAGTCGGCCCACAAATTGTTATTTATTATTTTTCTTTTTCTTTTTTGTTTGCTTTTCTTGAAATAATTAAACAAAAAGGAAATTGAATAAAGTAAGAGCAAAAAAGTAGCCGAGGGGAATACTGCAATCAGTTTGTCCCCCAAAGTTTGATAACAAAAGAAGGAATAATTAACGATGGTTTGCCAAATTTGTTTAAACTCAAATTTCTATTATTATTAGATGGTTTTAATTTGGGTTTTGCCAGAAAATAGTGACTCCAATAAAATAGGACGTTGAATTCTGAACCCAAAGTCAATTTGCGTTCCTTTTCATTAACCATTTACTAATTACATAAAAAGAAACAAGCAAAATCAACTCCTAAAAGGCTGTGGAGTACCCCTTAAATTTGGCCATTTTATTTAAGGACAGCTTGAGCGGGGAATGAAATCCCAACGGCCACTCAAAATGAAGGGGGAAGGGCCCGTGGGCCAACAACTTGGACCTCTTTGTGGGCCTTCTTTTGCTTTGGGACGTGACGTGGCGTTATGTTAATTACGTATTATCTTATAATAATCAGAACCGTCACCCGTACTTAAAGCGAATCAGAAGGTGGCACATGGCGTAAATTAATGCGGTGGCTCCCAAATGCATAAAGAAACTAGAAATGGTAGGGTGATGTGTAAACTCGATAGCCACTATGGCTGCGTGCGTGCGTGTAAAGAGAAGGTATTGATTTAAAGCGACTTTTTCAAAAGGGAGACCCCTTTTATGAACTTACCTGTTTGATGGCTTATCTTTCCCATTTTAGGGAAAGCTTGCCGACTTGGCGATGTCTCCTAGGCGTCCCCTTTTATGAACTTATCTATGTAAACCCATGGAGGATTCAATTACGAACGCTCACTACCTCCTTCAGCTTGTTTAGAGTTTCATCAGCCCTTCGGGTACTTTGCCACTCAATTCACAATCATGTTCGAATTAACGATTCCTTTTTATTATAATTCAACTTCCAACCACTTTTGTCTTTGTAAGTATGGTTGGATCGAGTGTTGTTTAAGTTATTCCAAGTTATCAATTACACTACTTATTGCTTCTTCTTCTTCCCAAGTGAATGTTATGAGTTTGGAAAGCCAAATTTTTAAGTTTACTTTTAATGGCTCTAATTAAAATTTAACATCAACATGGCGGTTGACATATATTTAATTTATTGGTTGAAATCTGAAAGAAATTAAAAAATAAAATGGTATATTAAATATGAGCCGGAAAGTAATAATTGAGAAAGGGAAATGGAAGGCGGATATTTAATTTAGGAGTCAGAATTTTAATTTTGTTTGAATATGTGTAATTAATAATATAAAAGTAAAATGGATGAAAGCGGTCCCACGTGGGAAGGGAATTGAGTGAGGAGTAATGAGATTGGAGAAGAAATAATGGTCCAGAGATGACGCAATGATGCCCTGCTGGGAGGAACCCTAGATTCTTTATTACGCCAATAAATGTTTTTTTACACTTCCGGTTCCTCTATTTATAAGCCTTTAAGACTCTCTAACTTTTCAATTTTTAAAGGCTTAATTAAGTTGAGTTAAGTTGGTGTGAGACCTGAAACTCAGATGCTGACTGGACCATGAATCTCATACTTTTAGAGGCTACAAGAGTCCTACAAAAATTGGATCCAGATTTGGGTGAGGAACCCAACCGACGCCTGTGTGGGCCCTCTACTTTTACCGTGTTTCTAGTATAATACTTTCCAATTAACCATGGATTTGTACTCTCTTACATCCTTTTGTGTACAAACACAACCCTGCTGAAGGATCCAAGTTTGGGTCCTGAATATCGACGCTGAAGCTGAACGTGGCCTTTATAAAACCCCACGTCACTCCAGGATGGTGACGATTATGATAGAGTTTGGGATCTGGATTCCTCCAAAACCCATTGCTCTTCTTCAATCTCGTATAAACCACTCTCATCTCTAAGCTTCCACTACTTCCCACTCTTCTCAAACTCCACCTCTATCCATTCCAATGGGGGAGGTCTGTAATTGACCCGACTCTGTTTCTCTTCTGTTTTTGCGTTTGCTTTGTGTTCTTAACTCTGTTACTGTCTGGATTTGTTGATTAGGAGGACAATAAACCGGCGGATTCAAAACCAGAGGAACCCCTGAAAGCGGCTCCTGATCAAGACAATAAACAACCCCAGAGCGAGAACCCACCGCCACCGGAGAACAAACAAGCGGAAGAACCAAAAGATGGCATCAAAGAGCAGCCTCTTCCTCAACCCCCTCAGGACATTGTCCTCGCTGTTTTTATGCATTGCGAAGGCTGTGCACGCAAGGTTCGCCGCTGCCTCAAAGGCTTCGAAGGTTACATATTTTTCTTTACCTTTTCTTCACTTACCCAAGTCGGTACAGAAACAGAGGAATAATTGAGCTTTTCTTTTCCTTTCTTTTAGGGGTTGAAAGCGTGGAGACAGATTGCAGAACTCACAAAGTGGTGGTGAAAGGAGAGAAGGCCGATCCGCTCAAGGTTTTAGGGAGGCTACAGAGGAAAAGCCACAGACGGGTCGAATTGATCTCCCCTGTCCCCGAGCTCCCTGCTGCGAACCCCCCACCCGAAGAGAAGCCCAAAACAGAGGACAGCAAACCAGAGGTTTTATTCTACACTTACATTAATTGCGTCTCTTGTGTTCCTCCCTTTTGGATTCCATTTCATTTCATTTGATACTTCTTAATTCGCAGCCTCAGATTGTAACGGTTGTGTTGAAAGTGCACATGCACTGCGAGGCTTGCGCTCAAGAAATCAAAAGACGGATACACAGAATGAAAGGTTCAATTTTAGTTGCTTCTTTCACGTTTTTTTCGTTTCTATGGCTTTGGAAATTCAATATTCAAAGTCGATCTGATTTGGATATTAGATGAGATGGGCATGGATCTTCTGTTGTATATATATCGACAACTTTATAAAAGTTGATTCTTGGACTAATTTTCCACTACTAGTTCCCGAGTGTTTTCATTTTTAATTCTAAAATCTGTGGTTGGAAATCAATGGGTCAGGTGTTGAATCGGTGGACCCAGATCTAAAAAGCTCGCAGGTCACGGTGAAAGGAGCGATCGATCCGGCGGCGCTGGTTGAATATGTTCACCGCCGAACCGGAAAACACGCGGCGATTGTGAAGCAAGAGCCGGAAATTGCGCCGGAGAATAATTCGGACGATGGTGCAAAAGAAGTGAAAGAAGAGAAGAAAGCCAGCGCCGGTGACGGTGTCGGTGAGGGTGCCGAGAGTGAGAAAAAGGTGGAGGAAGAAAGTAAAGTGGAAGAGATACCCGGGGGCGCCGATGCTGGCGATGGGGAGACGGCTGCAGAAGAAGACCCAAAGGTGGTGGAAGTGAAGAAGAATGAACATCATTATTACCCGCAAAGGTACATCATGGAAATGTATCCGTATCCGGCGCCGATTATGGACGGCATAGGGTACCCGGCGGCGCACATGGCGGTGGACGCCTATCCGGCGCGGGTGATTGGGTACGAGTATCCACCTCAGATGTTCAGCGATGAAAACCCAAATGCGGCTTGCTCGGTGATGTAGGGTATAGAATTTTGTTGGATGGAGTGAATGTTATAAAAACATTATCGTATGGTATATATTATTTAGGATGGTTGGTATAAAGTAATTGATGTCATAAATCCTAACCCTCCACCCAATTATAAATTTAAATTTACAGATTATTAATCCAAGGTTTTTAATGGTTTAGATTGTTTCAAAATAAAGAGAAGAAATTAAAATAGGAGAATGGGAAAAGAAAGTAGTGGAAGCCTCTAGAACAAGAGAGATATTCAAGTAAATATAAATTTATTGGATGACGAGCGAACCGCTGGGGTTTGGTTTGGTTGGGTTTGGTTGGGTTTGGTCAAATGAAAAGAAGGAACACGTGGCAGTGGCGTTAAACACGGGGAAGGCGCCTCAGGCCATTAATATGAATTAAGTTATGCTAATTAATGTTTTAGGTTAATAATCTCATTGACTAATGGGCGAGAGAGCGAGGTTTGAGCGTATTAATAATGGAAGGGCGGTGCTAAATTAACAGGCACGCCTCGAAGGAAGAATTAGATGCTGTCTCTATTGCTGCCACGTGTTAGTCCTTTTCAGGTCTTATAAAAATCTTTCCTCTTCCGCTTGCCCAATCACCAGTACAAGTCCCATTCCCGGAGTTCGTTCCTTCTTGTAGCTTTCCTCCTCCTCCTCCATTTCTTCCCGAACAGAGAAAACAGCCCCTGATTTGGTGTACAAAATGAGTAGATTTTGGACGTTGGTCACCCAACTTCATACTCTTTCCGGGTGAGTATAAACGGAACGCCTTCCTAACTTGGATGTTGGTTTTGTATTTTATGGCTAATTAGTTTGTAATTTTCGTTGTTGATGATTCCCGCAGGCCAGTTTTGATGTTGCTGTATCCACTGTAAGTTCATCTCTCTCTCTTTCTCCGTGTGATGCTGTGTTTCTATGTTGTCTCGATTTGATTTGAATCGTTCCCAAAACAACAGTTACGCGTCGGTGGTAGCCATCGAAAGCACATCCAAATTGGACGATGAGCAGTGGTTGGCTTATTGGATCATCTACTCCTTTCTTACTCTCATGGAAATGGTTCTTCAGCCTGTATTAGAGTGGTCAGTGCTAGTTCTAGATGATTTCCCCCCCTTTTTTTTTCTCTTTTCAGTTACAAGATTTACCGAGGTTGAGAGATCGGATGGGGTTTTTGGTCGTTGCTTAAATATATACGTTAGAAAACTGAGGGAGCGTTTGAAATTTGCAGGATACCAGTTTGGTATTCGGTGAAATTAGTATTTGTGGCGTGGCTGGTTCTGCCACAGTTCAAAGGTGCAGCCTTCTTGTATGATAGATTCGTGAGGCAGCAAATAAAGAAATATGGTGGTATGGGAAGCAATTCTGCTGATGCCAAAGCCAAGAATCACTAATTCACATAATCATAGTGAGTTTTCTGCGCCCTTCTCCTTTCATAATTATGATTACACTCGCCATTGTGAGCTAATTTCACTCATCTTTTTGTGAAGAAGTTCTTCGTCATTTTCCACAAGTGCACTAATAAGATGTCTGTTCTGGTGTCCTTATGTGAACTGGAGATTAGGAAGGATGGGGGCAGGAATCTTGATGAAGAAGGCTATTGTAAAGAAGAGTTGGTTCCTTCGTGGTGGACCATCCTTGTGGATTTGACTTCTTTTGTCTCTTGTTTTCGTATGGTTATGTAAAAAAAGAACTTGTATTGGGCATATTTGTCAATGAAGCAACTCTTTTTTTCCCCTGGTTTTATAAAGCTTCCGTTCACACGGCTATACAACAACTCTTTTGAACTATCTTCACACTCTCAATTGAACCAACAACCGGTCAACTCACCGTCGGCAAAAATCTTCCTTACAATTTTAAGAGAAAAAAGATGATACCTGAACGTGACCGATCAACTGATATTTAAGAGTAAAACTAAGAGTGTAAAACCATATATCCCACAACGATTTGTGTCGTTTATCCGACATCTAATAATCATAAGCCAAATGAATGTTTTTTTATTTAGAATCGACTGACTAACAGAACTTATTAGAAGCATATGTTGTGCCAATCACAGGAAAATCGTATGTTTCATAACTTCAATTTCTATTGAGCATGTACACAGAATAGACAAGCATCAGAAGGAATCGATAGATATCAAATGTCGCCGTGCTGGTTGTAGTAGCGTTTGTAGCATTCTCTACAAGCTCTGCCACGGCTCACCTGTCGACATGGGTTGATTGCCTATCAATTCTCTCCTTGCCATGGGTAACCTGATAGGTTAGATCAAAATGAACACCACCACAACAAGAATACCAATCTTGATCAGTTTAGGCTCTCCTCTGACCACTGGGCCGAGTAAAGCTTCGAGGAAAAATAATGACTTCGTTCCACCATGCTGTGCTGATGACGACCTATATATAAGACCATTGATTCCGCTTGCAATTATATCCAACCGGACCGCATCGCATAGGATTTCATGTGAATCTGCGGCCCATCAAGCTCTGTTCATTTGTCACTGTCAACAAGATTCTGTCAGCTCGAGGGAAGCTTTACTGCCTTAATCCCCAGTCCAAGATATAGGCTGCGATATATATGAGTTTCAACGCCGTTGGCCTCAAGACCCCTTTTTCTTCTCGCCTTCAATTAAGGGGACACATCTATAGGGTCTATACGGGCATGCTCATTGGTTTGAACAGCATTCGAACATTCGAGTCTTCTCAAAAGCAGCCAAGCATCAGATTCCAGACAACCCTCCTCCATCTCAAGGACAACTGGCAGAGAAGACGTTCTATTCATCTCAACCAGCATTGTACCCTTTGATGAAACAAGATATAAAAGAACGATTCTTAAATTAACTAAAAATATACTCACAAATACAGAAAAGGCATAATTTTTTCAAGTTAGCGGGAGGGGAGGAAATACTTAATGCCATCAATTTACCTCAAAATTTACCAAGAAAATTTGAAACTGTCTCAAAGCCTCCTTCATGCCACTCACTACTTTGACATCAGAAGAACCAAGAGCATCTGTTACATCCTTGGGAGAATGGCCAATCGCTTGCTGTACAGCCTAATAGTCAGCACAATAAATGGTCAGATACGGTTCTCCTTAACTAGGGTAAGCATGATCTCTATGGTATTTGACTCACCTCGTGATCAATGAGGACCTCAGAAATGAGGCTGCCGTCATCAACATAAGCATGTAGATCGTATGTTGTCCTTTGCCTGAATTGAAATCCTTTTACACCAGTCAAAAAGCACTGCAAGTAACATAAAGAGAATTAAATTCCATTTACATATTTCACTTTCATTCATTATGCTCGACATAATTCAATATGAGCAGGCTGCAAGCACTTAAGTCAAAAGGAACAAAAAGGATTCTTTCCAACAAATCATGCTTAGCATACTCGAGCATCAAATTCTATACATAGATCAGCCAGATATGCAACTCCATGCTTCCAGTTACAATTATATCACATCATCCACGTACGGGATTTCCTTGACCCTCAGCAGTGCTACTCGAGATAAACAGGATTGAGATTGAACGTTCATCTAATACTGTCTATAAGTTGCACATATATTGACCGTATTACTTACAAGTTAGTTATCTAACAATTAATCTGACCAGCGGATTGATGAACTAAATTTTAAGCTTCAACAATGAACTTACAGCTTTTACATACAAGAAAAATGTCCTGCTTTCTTTTGGAACAAGAAGTGTTTAGTCATCTAGTCATCCAATATGAACTTTTCTTCCTACCTTGATTTTTCCACGAACTGATGGAGATTTTTCCTTCCCTGATGCCCACTTAGCCGACAAACTAGCCAAGTAAGTGAAAGGCATTTTCCTATCACCAGATAAAATGAGTGGATGCTCAATATCAACCATATCGGTGTCCTCTACGGAATTGACCATATTGGTGCCTTCTATCGAATTGACCGTATTGGTATCCTCTATTGAATTGGACATAATGGTAGACACAGTTCTAGATCTACTACTGGGAACGGAATGTAAATGAACCTCCTCAACATTTGAAACAAAATTAGTAGATAGCTCAGAATTCGCATTTGTTCTGCTGACTGGGGTAGTAAATGCATCACTAACTGGAGCAGTGACTGCTTCATTTCCCCTATGGAACATGTGAACACCTGATAGTCAAATGAGCACCAGTGTCATATTGATTTCTGGAAATAAGAAGAATGAAAACAGAGAAAATTTGGAAGAATTCACGGTCCAAAACAACAGAAATCTTTCCAGTTTACACAGATTGCATGAAATTCCAGACCAAAAAAATAAATAAAACAAAACTTGCATCCAAGATAAACTTGGCCAGTACTCATAGCTAATCCAGGGACAAATATCAAATGCCTAGTGTAATTGACCCTGAGATCTGCGTCGGATTCTAGTAGGATTTTTGTTCTTCCTACTTTGAATTCTATAATGCTTTTTATTTCAGAATGAATTGGGTATTGATGAATTAAGAGTGGACATCCATTTTTCTTCCTCTTCCATCTCTTCCTGTTCTTGTTCCATCCTGTTTTGCTCCACTATGGTCTGTATCAATAGTTGAAACAGACTAGAAAAGAAATGCAACATATTAAGAGATTGAAACTAGATAACATTGTCCAGTTCAAGATATAAAGTAGTAGTGGCTTAGGTCACTAAAGTCCAGGAATCCGACATATAGAACATCATACCAGGATTGCTATCTTATTCAACGTCCAGTTAACAATGTAAAAAAATCTTTCTTTTGTCCCGGGAAGAAAGGAAGGAGAATATTTAACCGATTAGTACCTTGGTCTGAACGAGAAGGTTCAGTATCCACTATTCTGCTAGAGTGCACGGGCTCTGGAACAGTGTCCGATGGCCATGCGGCATGTGTGGCTCTAGTTGCCAAGGGAGGAACCATGCCTGTCCTCGTTCTGAACAAGTATAAAAATCACAAATTACGATAACAGAATACAGTGCATGGAATTATTCTGCCATAATAAGCTATGCTCAAGAGAAAGACCAAGAGAAACAAATTCGACCCTACAAGTACATGGTGCATATTTGAAGTCTGTAAGCAATCAATGTCAAAAGATAAAAGAACGAGTTTTAGACAGTGGAAAAGGAAATCATCCATGAAAACTTTGTACTCTTTGGCCTCAACGTTACCTCCTTCCTCTAGGTGGCTTGTTCACTTCATCAACCAGCCGCTGCCGAGCTGACTCCAGTTCTTCAACCAGACCTCCTAGAACCTCAAAAGCTTCAGGAACTAGCATTAGAACCCCACGCCGTACACTTACATTGCAGATCACTACCTGTATAAAAGCTATAAATAATTGATCCCTACATCAACTAATCAAGTATTCTAGAAGCACCTAAACCTAGTTGGGGAAAGAAAAGAGCAATTGATCGAGGATTGAGAAAGTTAAGAAACCTTCAACCCAGCAGGTGCTAAAACTTCAAGACCCTTAATAGGCCTGTATTCCATGCCAAAAACTCGCTGAACACCATCCGTCATAGACAGCTTAAGGCACCTCTTAATACTCGCAGGGGCAGTCTGATATCTACCCTTTAGAGGACAACTGATGTTAACTATCTCATCGACCTGACATGGAAAACAACTCAGCAAGGACTCTACAATTGCGCCTACCTCAAGCCGTAGGTCATTCTTATAATATCTGAAATTTTGCTTAGCTGCCAATGAGCTTAAATACAACAAATAAAAGGGAAAATTTTTAATATAAGGGAATGAACTCAAAGAACCGGCAAAAATAACCTGCAGTACGTATGGACCAGGGAGATCAACGAGATGCATAGAATCAACATTTTCGGGCAGGACACCAGCACCCGCGTAATTCATATCAGAAACCAAAAACTGCTCAAAACACAGCTTTCCTTTCTCTGCTGGGTTGAGGCTCAAAAAACCCGGTACAGACCCATGATGGGCACGGATACAGGCATCCAGCCACTCTCTCTTCAAGCTTAAACCAAGTCCCCGAAGGAACTCACTCACAGGACACGACGGCTCGCGGGAAGCGACATGAGGATTCGGCTCAGGCGAGTGACGGAGAGAATGATCAGAGTCCGGAGAGGGAGGCGAGAGATGTTCGGAGACATCGATAAAATCTTGTTCGTCGTCGTCGTCGGAAAGTTGGACGGGCTCAGAAACGTTGGGATTAAAATGAGAGTTAAGATTGTCGATAATGGGAGGCTGAAGAGAGGTGGTGGAGGAATCTGGGCACTGAGGATCATGTTCGAAGTCTTCGTTTTCGTGGTCTTCATCGGAAGAACAGCTCAGTCGAAGGCGCCTCCTGGGCATCGTGGCTTCACTCGGGAATTAGGGCCTTCGAATTTGTTCTTCCCTCCACTTTGTGTCTGTGCAGCGGGAGAGCATAGGAGAAATGTCTTCTATTATTATTTAAAAAAATTATAGTTATATTGTCTTTAGGAAAATTGCAATTTTTTACAATCATCATTAAATTAGGTTGAATTCATTGTCCAATTATCATTAAATTACATTCATTTGAATGGTCTGTCCTTCCACAAATACCAAATTGGCTCTAATTGAATATTTGATGATTTGTTCTGAGTCCTGAATTATTTTATTAAAATACATTGGGCAAATGTACTCGTAGTTCTGCTCAACTTTACCTCAACCGAACCCGACTGCTAAATGTTGTTTTCGCGAACAAAGCAAAGGTTTTTGCTTTAAACTAACTAAGATCAACTCAGAATCCAAGACTTTACTTTGAAGAATTTAGGAGTATGGTCTCGTCAACATCACCTATAGCCAATATCCATATCTTCTTAGACTCTTTAGTTAGCAACCAAAATTCTCTCACATCACCAGACATCAAGTGTGGAATAATCTTTAACGTGAGATTAAGATACAGATATTTTCTTTGCATTACATCGAATGATATCATTTGGGACAGACAGACTTTGTGTATACTAAGTAAAGAGTACAAGAGTAGTGGTCAAGATCTCACAGAAGGGTAATCCTTCCACCTAGAGATACCAAGATCAAATGCAGATTGCAACACACTAACCCGCTCCATCAACAGTTTATCTTCTAGCTCCTCAACCACAGGGTATTCTGCTTCCATTATTTCCTCCAGATCTTCAAGATGCTTAATTTTGCGTTGCGTCTTCTTCATCTGTCCACCATTTTTTACACCAAGTAAACGTTTATCACTTCGCATACAATCGACCATGTTTAACTGGAACTTTCATATTAGGAGTGTGTAGTTCATAGAGAATGGTTACCTGTGTTTCTATCATTATCGCCAACAAATATTCAATTTCTCTCTCTTCTTGATCAGCAAGTAATTTTGCATGTGCGGCAGCAGCGCCAAGTGCTGTTGCTGTTGCAGCTCTAATTCGCAAGATTAAAGGAATGTCATCTTTGTCCTCGACCATCATATCACCTGAAGGGGAAGTACAGATAGCTAAGCTAAGGTTAAAGGCAAGACACAGAGTAATGAACCGAAATGCTGAACCATAAAACAAGAAAGGGAGCTAGCATTGACACCTAAACCACCCACACCAAAAACGCAAACAATCCTAAGTTCAGCAGACATGTAGTTTTTCTATTTGAAAACATGGTCCGACAAAATGGAAAACTATATATAATCACTCAGCACTTCGAAGTTCACAATAAGTACCTGGTTGAGGCCTCTCCTCCTTCGGCACTGAATCATCGTTATCGAGAATTCTATGGAAGAAGTTTACAGATAAATTTATCTCAGATGTCAAAAAAGTATTGGCCAAAGAATGAAAAGTGCAAACAAAAATACAAACCTCTCAACCTCATGATTTGATTCGGTGGAAGCCGCAGAACACAATCCATTAGGTACAAAAAAATCTTGATCATCAAAGACTTCTTTCGGATATAAGTTTTCGTCACAAAGTGCAGCAACAGAAGCAGTAGCAGCAGCCGCCATAATATGTGGCCCAACCATGCTTGATATCAAAGCTACCTAATAGCATAGGACATGTGTTTATACATCAGCTACTAGAGAGCAAAGTCGAGCCATAATACATTTTATGGGCCACCATTCAGCAATGAAAAGATGACCCTCAACAAATTCACTTCGCTTCTATACAAAGAATGCAGTTATGTTAAAATGTATTTGTTTGAAAGGATAGTTAACAAGACATGGTACATAAATCCTACCTGTTTCATCAGAGAACTGCTCGTATCTGGAACAGAAGCAGTGCACTGTCGCTTGGGAGGACCTTGATTCTCTTCATCTTTGTCCTCATTTATGTCCTGGTCTTCACTTCCGGCAACCTCCTGATTGTTAGATGGAGAGAGTCTAATTTCTTTTTCACTGGTGACGTTGTTATTGGGACCTCTAGCCTCGTTCCTTTGAGCTTCAGAACGTAACAAGAAGTCCCCAAAAGGCAACTCCACGAGCTTCAATATACAATCCAATTTAGTCTTGGTTTTAACATTTTGAGCAACGAGTTCCCAGTCATCTCCATGCTTCAAAAAGGATTCCAAAAGAAGCAGAGTTTCAGCCTCAGTCCACACAGCTCCGGTATTAACGCTATCTTCAATGAACTCCTTGGTCTTCAACTCAAAATCTTCCAAAAGCCTCTGCTCCCCGTAATTTTTATCATTGAAACAATTTTCGCAAATTAAATAACCATCCTACGTGTAATATAAGAAGACGAGAGTTAGACACTCATGAAAACCCATTAGTGGAAAAATGGAAAGGAGATTTACAAATAGATAGTATGGGAATATTCATGTACGTGATAGCATGACAGTACCTTGGCGCATTGATGGTATCGAGATCCACACGACTGACCACAATTCCCACACACTAAAATCTTCAGCTTCAACAAGTCAGTGAAAACATCTGAATAAGAAGTCAGAGGGGGCGATTTAAACCCGCTCCCATTAACGATAGAACTGTCTTCCACAACAGGTGGTGCTGAAATTGGCTTGACCGAATTGGGCATTGCTCCCACACGAATCCCATTGGGAACCCCCTCTTCAATCTTAATTGTAGGGCTGTCTCCATCTACCACCTCCTCGGAATCGTTACCATCCGAAGTTGCGGCAAAGTTGATCAACCCCCATGTCTCCAAGAAAATAAACACCTTATGAAGCAAATTAACATCCCCCACGAGTGACTTACGAATGTCGGTGAATGTAAGCCTGCTTGAAGGCTCTTCCCTGTACTTATTGATAATAAAATCTCTATACTCTTTGTATATGCGCGGTGTTCTTGATATTGAGCTTCCATCAAAGAACTCCTTCAAAGCAGACTTCTCAGTTTCGTGAATTTCATCCCACGAAAACCAACCTGAAGAATTAATTAAACATTCAGGGCCACTTTAAAAGACTCTCCTGTCTTCTTCGTTCTTTATTCAATTCCCTAAGCTACCTAGTAAGTACCCAAGAGAGACTAAATGGGAGAGGAAGTGGCCAGTTTCTAGGGTTAGGGCATTGGGCGGAAAATGCATAGAGTGAGAAAAAGAGAGGGAGAGAGACTTACTGGAGTGACTTGGAATGGTGTACAGATCGAGCTCTGGTTCGTCTGGAACTCGTCTATCACTCGGTTCCCGCTGTGAGGTGTCCATCGCGAACCGCGCGGTGAGCTTAGTCGAGTCCGACGTAGCTTTTAGTATGTCTGCGATGTAAGAAGCGCAGAAGTTGGAAAGAAAAAAGAAAAAAAAAACAAAAAAACGCGGAATCTTACTCGCTGTTGACGTAATTATATCACGGTCCAGTAACGTACTGGGGCAGTATCACTGAGTGTGGGCTCTGCATAAGCCCACAATTGTTTTGCTCCTTGTAACTATTGGGCCGTCTCCTTGTCATTCTTTCTCAACCCAAACAACCTTGTGTTTTAAGGTTCAACTATGATCAAACTAATTTGTTTTAGATACATATAGTTGTAAAAAAACACAGTAGATATTTTTTTTGGGGTTGTAAATGTTTGAAATTTTAGATGTATAACTATCTTTCATATAAAAAATTATGAATCAAAATTTTAATTTGGCGATAATTGAAGTATAGTAATTCTAAATAAAAGAATATAATAATTCTAAATAAAAGAATATAATAATTCTAAATAAAAGAATATAATTTGGTCCACCAATAGGATGTTGCGCAGAAATGTGAGAATAAATAAAAAAGTGCAATAATGTATTGGCAACAGCGAGAAGCACACGTGGGCAGCGCAGATATATAAAAAAAAGAAAAAGAAAAAGAAAAAGGAAAATTGGAGGGGGTGGGTTGCCGGGAGGGAAGCAGGAGGGGATAAAAAGCAAAAAGCAGGCGCCAGCCCGCTAACATTTTTGTTTTTGGGTTCTAAATTTTTGAAACCCCGCTTCTTCTCCCCGCTTCTTCTCCCCGCCCTACTCAGATTTCATTTGCCTTTGCCACTCCTACAACTAACCCAATTTCTCCGATCCCATCTCTCTTTCTCTTTTCTACGCGTTCTCACTCCCCCCTTCCTTCCCCTGCTACTACTACTCATTCCCTTCTTTCTTCCTGCTACTCTTTCTAGGGTTTCTACCCATTTTTCAATCCCTTCGACTCCCCCCCCTCTACTCTTCTCTCCCATCAATTCCTGCTTTTTTCTTCTCTCTAACTTCCATGGCGTCTGAGAACACAGAAGACAAGAAAGCAGAGGACGAAGCTCCTGTCGAGGACAAAAAGCAAGACAGCAAGGACGGAGATGCTTCCGCAGGCCTAAACCCGGAAAAAGAAGAGTCTGCCGTAGCTGAGCAAGAAGAAGCTATAAGCGCTGAGCGTGGTCCTGAAGAGGTAAATGGCGATGCTGAAGTAGAAAAGAGTAAGGAGGATGAGGAGCACAAAGGTAAGCCGGAAATCCAAGAAGTAGGTGATGAACAGGGCACTGCTGCAAATGACGAACCCGAAGATGAAAATGTTGACTATAAAGGGGAAGACAGCGCCGAGGAGGAAGATGAAGGAGACAACGAGGTTGAAACTGAAGGTGAAGGTGAAAGCGAAGAAAGAAAAAAAACGAAGAAGGGATCAAAGGCAGATGCTAAAAAGGGTAGAAGGGTGTCTGCGAAATCAAGGAAAAATTCTGCTGAGAAGAAAGGAAAAGACGACTCTAGTTTGAAGGAGCCGGTCACGCCAATCATTGAGAGGCCAGCCAGGGAAAGAAAGACAGTTGAGCGGTTCTCCGTGCCATCACCAGGCAGGTTGGGGAGGTCTTCCGCAAGCAAAACGCTCTCAATTGAGAAGGTTTGTTAGTGTTTCATTGTATGTTTTCTTACTTCTTGATTTTTTCTTTTGATAATTGCGCTTCTTGTGTTTCAGGGCCGTGGCACTACTCTCAAGGATATTCCAAATGGTATGTCTTGATTGCTATATAAAACTTTCCGCCGAATTCAATACATGCTCTT